TAGGGACCATAGGTCGCCACTTGGCAGTAATTAAACCGGAAAAGTCGCACATGGGTTGTGTCCATACCATCCATAATTAACTAATCGGATAGTTTGGTTTGAACTAAAGGTAATATGGCATTTCACAAGGTTGTGACAAAAAAAAAAGTCTGAACTTCACTTTTCAAAGTAAAGAAGAGACACCCTATCGTTTAAATATCTATTACTTTTGAGTATAATATGAAGTACATAGGATTAATTAGTGTTCTAGATACCATAAGCTCCTTTTTTTTAACACACGATGCATTTTTAAGAATTAAGGATATGTTTTTAATAGAGACCTATTGTTTCACCAAGTTTTAAATACACTTATAGGACTACTATCACAATTCACAAGACAATCCGTGAATTAATGTTGTCGGTTTCAAAAGTAATTAAGGTTAAAGTATCATTAAAAGAAATAAATTATTAACTAACTTAATTAGAGTACAAAAAATGATAATTTAAAACATAATTAGGCCCTACATGGTAACTTAGTTTCAGCTAAGTGGGAGGAATTTAAAATATTTTTCTTATAATACAAGAATACATGGGATTCTTCATTAATATACAGCAAATTAAGTCAAATGGATTTTTTTTAGTTTTTATTCTTTACAGATTTTACTTATTCACTTCCATATTTTAAAATTTTTAAAACAGAAAAACTTGAGAAAATGTTTTTGAAAAACAAAATAAGAAATTATTAATGAATAAATTAAAGCTGTGAGATGATTCTTAAATATTATGCTAAAAGTATTTTTAAAGTAATTTAAATATTATTATTCATGTTGAATGTTGGAGCTTTGTTCGTCACTGAATCCGCCCCACTAAAACTCCGAGTAAATACAGTTTATAAAAGATAAAAGAATTGGGCATGCGGCCCAATTCCAGAGAAAGGATAAGATCCGAGATTAAGCCCAAGTCAGTCCTGCAAGTGCTGAGTCAACGAAAATAGAGCTGACGAGCTAAGAACGAGTCAACAGGGAGGTTAGCACAACCGTAGGAAAGAGATTAGCGGAGAATATGCCAAGAACGTGTCCGAGATACCATCCCTAGATACGTGGAGTTGGATCGAGGAACTGATTTGAGCTATATATACATGAGTCCGAGCAGATTTCGCCAATTATTCATACAAGAGCTTAACACTACATTTTAGCTTGTAATACGTCTCACTCGAGATCTCATTCTATCATATCAATATAAATCCAGCTCTGCTTTATTCTTCTTTTCCCGTCGGGTTTATAGATATTTCTTATGACCAAAGTTTGTTCTCCGAATTCCATATAAATTCTTAGTGCGGAATTCAGCTTCCACATTAAAGATATTTTGGTAATCCAAATGGGTGGAGAGGTACCAATAAGATATTCATATTGAAGATAATTTTTAACTATTAGATATTTGATACTCCCTCCGTTTCAATTTAGTTGTCATTTTAGACATTTTCACACAAATTATGTTAAGTCAGCCTACAAATTGTTGACCCGAGATGAGTCAGACAGGCCGTATATGGGTGATTTTTTTTGCAGGGTGTGGACAATGGTCGCTCCAGAACGGGTGAGAGAAAGTTATACAATAATATGAAATTAGTAACATTTTAGTTGATATAATTATATTAACATGTTAGAAATTATGAGATTTAAAAAAACAAATTTATATTTTGAATTTTTCAATATGTTATCTTTTCTAGCATTTTAAATTTGTGTTGATTTATAATTTATGTTATGTAATTTTGTGCTTACATTATTAGTATTGTTATTAAGATTGTTAAAATTACTATATTACATATATTATTATAGCTGATAAAAATACAAATAATTAATTATGAATTGATATATTTAAATGTAATTTGATATGTTTTTGAAAATATTAATGAAATAGTTTTTCAAAATAATAATAAAATATATTATTTATGTTACTATTTAATTTGTAAGATATTATATGGAATTCTTTCTATTGGAGGGAAGAATACATATAAATTTCTTCAATTAAAATATATTAGAAATATTATTATTATATTAAGAAGAAACTCTATGAGTCCGCTCTCCATTGGAGAGATGCTCTAAGAGCATCTGCATTAGTGATACAACATGGGTATCATTAAATATAAAATTATTAAAACACACACTCTCTTTTCCTTTTACTCAACTTTATACCTTCTCTTTCATCCTTTTACTCAATTTTCATTAATTTTATACTCTTTTTAAATATAAAATTATTAAAAACACACTTTTTCTTTCTTCAAAAGTATCAAAAGTATCAACTATTTGATACTCTCTCTCCAAAAATATCCACTATCTCTTCTCTTTACTGAAATTTTATTAATTTTATATTTCAATACACCCCATTATTTCAATCAAAAACACTCTCTTTCTTCTTTTTACTCAAATTTTAATAATTTTATATTTAATGATACTCACATTGTATCACCACTACTTATGCTCTAAGGCCTCAAGACTTGGCTTTCTAGAAAAAAAGGTAGTAGGCTAGTAGCTAATAGAGTTTAATTCTTGGAAATCAAAGTTTTTTCCCAAGGTAAAAACAAGATAATGGTAAAAGCAAATATCTTAGCTCTTCTGACGTATGTATTTTTTATTTTTTTAATTACCAGAAGATTGAGTCGAAACTCGTATGTATTGTTTTAAACACCCAGGAAATCTTTTGCACCAAAATAGTTTGTCTCCTATCTAAGTTCTTGTGAAAGAATCAAGATACATGGAAAAAATTTCTAAGTTTTGGGAAAAAAGGAGCATTCTAAAGAGTTTTAACTTGGCTCTTTTGAGAAAACAACTATGAAGAATGGATGTGGCACCAAATTTTGTATTGGCAACGTATTTAGTGAAAGGTGCTTCCCCAACGTCTCTCCTCTATAAGTAAGGGTTGGTTCTAGACTATCATTTATCTAGACATATTATGATGAAAAGAGGCATTAAAAAGGGTTTTGGTAATGGGATATATATGAAAGGATTTGTCGGACGACAAATCAACTAACTTACAATGATATATCTTTAACTTTTTTTTTTTTTAGAAAGAAATCTATCTTAGCATTTTCACTATGATATTAACTGCAGTCTCCCAACAAACCGTTTGAAAATTGTTCTTAACAATATTTTGGAATATATTCTGTTTTTGAATCTCCTTATTTTAAATTATGGTGATCTCATCCTCAAATTTTGTTCTTCTCCTTTCTAATATCCGATAAGTTATACGGATCCCTAAGTTATATGTCATATCCAAGAAATGATGTAGGACGCTTGAATATTTTTTAATAGAAATTACTCATCATTTCATTGATTACTTAAGTAAATCCAACACAAATCTATCCAATTAAATAAATAAATAAAGTTACCTCATTGTATCGATCTTATTTGAGATCACCAACAAACTTATATCTGTCTAAATATTATCTCTTTGATTTTACATAATATATCTCAATAAAATCTTAACAATATTTTGGA